GTTTTAATACCGGTGATCGCATGGAGAGAAATCTCTGGTTCGAATGTGACGGGTTCCCCTTCCTCCTCCTCTTGCTCATCTATGAGAAGGCAAAAAAGCCTCTTGCATCTATGTCCTGCCGAGTAGAGGTCATCACAATTGAAACATTGACCTCTCGCTCGGCGCTCTGCCATTTCTGCCCTGGTCAAGCGTTTGATGGGAGGAGTGACCATGTTACTGCCTGTACTCGTCACTGCTCTAGAGGTGGTGGGCGTGGGAGGCTTCATTTCCCTACTGGTAACAGAAGAGGGGGTCGTTGCTGCTGGTCTTGGGGGCACCCACGAGTTCGGTGGWCGACCCACATTAAAAATTCCGCGGCTGATCTGCAGCTTGCGCTCAAATGCGCGGGCTAAGTTCATGGCTGTGACCAAATTTGGGGGATTCTGCATCTCGACATCCACTCGCAGGGGTTCTGCTAACCCTGCTGTGAACATATCTACTTGCTGGTTTGGTCGCACGGAGGATGCCCTYGCGAGGAGGGTTTGGAACTGTCGCTGGTATTCAGCAACTGTTCCGGTCTGTTTAAGGTTAATTAGCTCGCCCAGTGGGTTGCTGGTCAATGGGGGTCCGAACCGAAGAAGGCAATAGGATTTAAACTGGGGCCAAATGAGCCCGGGTTCTTCTTGCTCTAACCGATAAAACCAAAGCTGTTCTTCTGTTAAATGAAAGGCGGCTAGGCTTACCTTGTCCTGGTCATTTGTCCGTTGATTCCGGAAGAACTGCTCGCAGCGATACAGCCAGCCTAGGGGGTCTCCGTTGCCGTTGTACGATGGAACTCCAGCCTGCTGTACTTGGGGATGATGGCTGCTCCATGGCCGACGGACTACTGTTCGCCGGAAGACTCCGGCAGATCTGGCTGGCAGTCGTTAGCTGCTGTCCCTCCRTCAGAGTTCCTTTCCCTGCTGGAAAGAAACATCTTTATTAGTCGCCGCAGTTCTCGCACTTCACCTTTGATCTCACGAACTTCGGAGTTGGTCTCCACGAGTTGGTGCTCGAGGTCATGGACCCTGGAAAGTAGCTGCTCCAGATCTCCCATGACGCCTTGCTCTGATACCAAGTTGTTGAGGGCCCGGGAATAGGATCTCGTCCTGTTTTCCCTTGTTCCTTCCTGCTTGTGATGAACCTATCTTGGCGCCTTTGGTGATTTGTCCAAGAGATCACCAACTCTCCTAACTCACTCTTGACATAATAATTTGATATCTCATTCAATAATGGGGTCTCCTTAAATAGGAGATTACAAGAGTCCTAATCAAGGGGAGTCTCCTTGCTGAATAGG